CATTTTTTTATGCGTTGCTTCCACCTTTGCTCAAGTGCAGCGCTACTGTATCTGTCGCATGGATCCTGGCAAAGTTGACAGTCTTCTTGATATGATGTCTTCGCTCAAACACTATCAGGGTTTCAATTGAATTCGCTCGTTGGGATTAAGCCTGTGCGCCGATCAAAATATTTTCGGCGGCAGCGTGATATGTTATTTTCTGCCGGCGGCAGCGGCGTGGCGGTGTGGGTCAGCGTGAGTTTATTTTTAATGATTTAGAAAAAAAAATACTTTCTAAACCAATCGCACATGGCAAAAAGGCTACCCACATTTGAGTTCAGATTACTCAAAATTGCTAAAACATAGTTTGAGTAAATTTTCCGACACTTTTCCGGGGAAAACTTCTCGAATATGGGGAAATTTAAGAAAATTGAACACAGGTTAGAAGTGTACTACAAGTTTTACTGAGATCTCAGCAAACATTTCATTTGTTTGCTGAGATTCAGCTAAGTATTATCCGAGACTCAGGTTTCTGAGATCTCAGTGAAATTTATTTTTGCCGAGATTTGCACAGCCGAGCCACAGTGAATTTTCCTCATATTCGAGAAGTTTTCTTCGAAAAAGCATCGGAAAATTAACTCATTATATGAGTGACCTACGTTTTCGCGAATTTGATTAAATTCAAATATGAGTAACGCTTACTCAATTTTAAGTCGTTATCATTGGCCGTACATGCGGAATTTGTTTCAAGAGCAAATTTTCATTATGTCGTAAGTAACATTCGCACCGATCCGAGAAAAATAAAGTTTTGTTTTGATGACCGAAAAGTTATTCCTATTTCCAAGTAAACACATATAATCTCATAGTGATAGCAATGTTTAACATATTTAGCCGGGTTTTAATCATACAAAGGCAAATCGCTAGCTTTCATGCTAAGAAATACTGGTTTTTGAGTCAAAAGTTATTATACGTCGTTTGGTGGCCATTATTGTTAATTAAGTCAAAGTGTATTTACCAGTATATTCGGGAGAATTATCAATTACGTCTCCTTACGTGCAGCCCATTCATCATTTTAGGACCACCGAAATCATCTTAGCAACAAACAGTTCGATTTATTCACTTTAATAATGAGAAAGCGAAACGACGAAAGTACACTTTTCACGGGTTTCTCAGTGCTGTTACACTGAAAATGTATTTTCGTTATTTCTCTGAAAACCGTTTCGTAAAAATGAATATCGTACATACAACACATATTTCATAAATGGTACGAAACATTCGTTTTTCCTGTCATCTGGCGCAATGTCAATATTACGCCTTATTCGTATAATATACAAATACATCTTCGTACAATCAAACCAACAACTGCGCTTATTGTCTCCTAAAGTGCTGATTATGTGTTGGAGATGGGATATATTTTTTTTTAGAAATATTGTCGGTTTGACCAATACATGCAAGCTACCACAATAAATCATCGCGGTGGTTCTATGTTAGAGAAAAAAAAAATACATGCAAGCAGCAGAAAAAGCAAGAGAAATCGAAGTACCACTGCATGAGTGCTTCTTATTGCCTTTAGCTTTACCTATTCTAATAGCACCGATAGAGCGATGGTTAAAGCACAGATCTGACTATCGCAAGGTACATAAGTCGAGTCCTGTCTAAAGCCTATTTTTATTTTTTTGTCATATTTATTCCTTCCAATGATGAAGTTATTTTTACCCATCCTCATCAACACACCCCACATTTTTCGGTTTCCACAACCAACACTTGTGGACCGCTTGTTGGGTGTAGTGATAGCGAGTGTGGCAGTTCTAACAAAACTAGCTTCATACAATGTACAAATCCATTTCGTTGCAGAAAACAACGAATAAATTCGTAGAACAAACGAGTGATTTCGTTGTTTATACGAAATTTTATTTTCAGTGTACTTAAGGCAAACGGCATCTCCATAGAAATCGGATGACTTAAGTAACATCGAAAACTATTTTGATCGGAAGGTGATTACGTCAAAAAGGAATCAACTTTGACAGACGCTTTCTCGAAAATCGGCAGATCAACAACAGAGGGATTTTCGAACATCTTAATTTATTTTCGAAGTGTCAAATTTAAGTGAAAAATTTCCAAATGGAACACAGCCCAAGGCTAGTTTGACACTACGCCACCCAATAAGCTAACTCCCTTAATCCATGTATATTAGAACAAAGCAGGTAAGTAATAAAGCTTTCCCCCGAGGAGTGCAAGTGGTACGTATTACCTAAATCGAATTGGAGTAAATGGGCAACATTTTCGGTATCTAGACGTCATCCCGATTCCGAAAATATCCATATTGATGCGTATTTGGCAGTTTTTCTCACTTCTTCTGAAACCGGAAGCGGCCGTCTTGGATTTCAGAATGGCGTCGGAAATCTATTTACGGATTTAAGACGTCATCCCGATTGTGAAAATAAACTTATTGAAGGGTATTTGGCAGTATTTCCCACTTTTTCTGAAATCGGCAGCCGCCATCTTTGATTTCAAGATGGCGCTGGACATCGATTTTCGGTCTCTATACGTCATCCCGATTCTGAAAATATACATATTGAAGGGTATTTGGCAGTTTTTCTCACTTTTTCTGAAACCGGAAGCCACCATCTTGGATTTCGAAATGGCGTCGTAAATCTATTTACGGATTTTAGACGTCATCCTTATTCCAAAAATATACATATTGAAGTGTATTTGGCAGTATTTCCCACTTTTTTCTGAAATTCGATTTCAAAATGGCGTCGGAAATCGATTGACGGGTTTTAGGCGTCATCCCGATTCTGTAAATATCCATATTGAAGGGTATTTGGCAGTATTTCCCACTTTTTCTGAAATTTGCAGCTACCATATATGATTTCAAGATGGCGCTGGGCATCGATTTTCGGTCTCTAGACGTCATCCCGATTCCAAAAATATCCATATTGAAGGGTATTTGGCAGTATTTACCACTTTTTCTGAAACCGGAAGCCGCCATCTTAGATTTAAAATCGGCGCTAGACATCGGTTTTCGGTCTCTAGACGTCATCCCGATTCCGAAAATATACATATTGAAGGGTATTTGGTAGTATTTCCCACTTTTTCTGAAACCGGAAGCCACCACCTTGGATTTCAAAATGGCGTCGGAAAGCGATTTACGGGTTTTAGACGTCATCCCGATTCCAAAAATATCCATATTCCATCCATATTGGTCTTGATCAACTGAACAAGTTCGCCCAAGAAAGCAATTTCCTAGATGGCAAGGATTTCAAGACATCACACAAACAAGGTTATCACAAATTCATGTACCTTAGCGTCGCGTAGTGAGAAAATTCCGAACTTCTGTCCACCAACAATAAGGTCGTGATCCACTGAACAACTTTGCCTAAGGAAGCAACTTCCGAGATGGCAAGGATTTCAAGATATCACACAGACAAAGATATCACAAATTCATGTACACTAGCGCCGCGTAGTGAGAAAATTCCGAACTTCTGTCAACCAACCTTTAGGTCTTGATCATCCCAGTGGCAGGCGCGTAGTCAACATGTTATACAGTGACAGCGGGCCTAGCACAGCAAAATAAATGATTTGAGCCCGGGACATGCTGCCTACTGTCAAACCATAGAGGTAACTCTAAGACCACTGGGTCCCGAAGAAAATCATTATTATTTTTGGCTCACTCAGTACCAGAACAACGGTCCCAAGCAGTCCCAAGCTATTTCACTCACCCCTGCATGTTCTGCATGAATCCACACACCCCTGATGTTATCTGTCAAACTTTCATAGCGAATCAAAACAAACATAGTGTAGTAATAGAATTTCAACTAGAATAGGGTACGTTAATCGTTTGCTTGGGACCAATAGGCTACTAAAGTGGTGAGCCAATTTAAAATCGTTAGTTTCGTATTGATTGTTGGTCAAACGCTGCTGTTGGTATGGACCTTGTCACTGGCCTGGTCTTGATTCACTGAACAACTTTGCCGAAGACAGTAACCTTCTACACTCAAAAAATTCCACACGTCATCATCATATGTCTCACACTTAATTTTGCGCTTATTGTGAAACACATCCATTTCATGTGTGAATCTTATGCTGTGAACCATGCATGAAAACTATGGATTTGAATTGTGACAAACTTGGATTCTATGTCCCTCATATGGTGATATCAATAGCTTTGCACTTCATAGTTCAATATTCTACAATATTCTACTTTCTCGACTTCTACTTTACCGACTCTAAAAATGAATTAACAAATATATAAACAAAACTTCCAGTGGCCAGAGCTTTCACATATCTTTTTAATGGGTCTGATTTGGGATTCGATCATGGACTGTTAGGGTGTGCTGCTGCCGGAGTCTTCGTTCGATCTCACTGTGCCACGGTTGTTCTCATATATAGAGGCGGGATGATAGGATAAAGTCACAATTCTTGTTTTCCATGTTTACCTTTCTGAGCAAGCAATTCACATCGTATTGAAATGCAAAAACACTTTAAATCCATCTGTTTTGAACAGTAGCGTGATTCAATGTGCAATACACTTGAATAGATAGTGAAAGATTTTCAACATTTCAAAGTTTGAAACACTAGAAATTAACGTGTATAATACATCGAACCAAGGTGAAATACGCTTAAAGTAAATGTGATTGTGCATTTAAAAAATCAAGTGTTTAAACACTTCGATCAAACGTGTGGAATGTCCAGGATCGCGAGATATTCCATGTTGGTCCCTATTAGGTCAAATCCCATATGCTACGTGTACTCCATTTACGCGATTCCCTCACGTAAACGGAATCATTCGAGACCAACGTAAATGGAATTCGTGTAGACCGAGTTCGCGTTCTTCGGGGGAAGAGTGTATATCATTATCCTTCTACCACTCCGATCGAGCTATGTAACAGAGCGAGTTTGTCATGGTAGTCGTAGCAACCGTTTTGTCTGTATCGTTGGTTGCTTTATGTGTTTGGATTCGCTGGTGCTTACTGTACCCACGGGTTTCCAATTTCCATGGCATTTCACCTAGCACTCACCTTTGGTTTTGCGTGGCGTGGAAGGGGGTGCTGGTGTTGGAGCCGGTGATCTGGAGTTATCTCTTCCTCGCTGCTGGTGACATCGGGAAGAAGACGCACGTTCGACACTTTCAGTCTGCAAGGAAAATGACAGGAGAGATAAAATCGATGATTAGAATAACAGCAATTTCGATCACAATTTTCGGTTAGTTTTATTTTGCTCCGTTCCATCCATCATGGACAGCCGGGAAAGCGGTGCGGGATTGGCCGGCAGACGAGCAAAAAAGGAAAACGATTATTTATTTACAGATCGGATCATATCAAAATATTGCTCAGAAATATTGCTTCCAGCAACGTATCATTTTGGATTGTTTACATGGTGGGATTTTATTTGGACAAAAACTTCGCTTTATTGATACACACTCAACGGAAGATTATTTTTCCACGGAACGTTTTCCATCCGGTACCGAGGGACATTCCCTTAGTAAGAAGGGGGGAAATGCGACGATAAATAGTAACCCATAGCTGAAGTGGAGAAGATACATATCATCAGACGATTTCGAAAATGGTATCCGACCGGAATGTTGGAGCAATTCCAGGTCAAATTGCAAAACATGTGTTTGGTTTTACCTCTCTGAATTCCATAAACTTCGCTTAATTGTTCGCTAGGAACAATTAACCAAGCAACCAGCTAATCGAAATGTCGTCTGACACAAAGTTGTACACTTAAAAAATTCTACACGTTAATGCTAAGTGAGTTTACCTGACGCTAGTAGAATTTAGTTATCAGTAATTGATGTTCATAAGGAACACATTTCATATCCACTTTTTAATCCCACGTCGAAGACACTCTTTTGACAGTTTGGCTTTCACGTACATGCTACGTGTTTTACACGTATGAAAAAATAAGAAACATGGCCACTGTACGAAGGCAGTCCAATGAAGGTGAAGTACCCAGGAAGCCAGAATACCCGATTCTGCAGTTCTTCCAACCAAAAAACCTGGCCTCAAAAACAATTTGGAAGTACGCTGTACTCTTCGAGTAGGGTAAATGATGGCTTCGGCACCCATTGACTATTTTCGGCAACCGAAATTGAAACGTTAATTTCACTGTATTTTCCCATCAAAACTCTTCGCTGAATGTATTAAGCCGATTCCTTACCTTTTCAGCTTCAATCTGATTACATTTTTACGACTGTGCAATCCTGTTATGCCATATTTTTCTTTAAATTAAACATACACACTACAAAATACGGCTGATTTCGAGTTGCCAATAATAGAACAGCTGGTTAACACGCAGTTCAAATGGAAAGGGTGCCGAAGAAAAAGAGACTCCCGACAATAGTCACACTCACCTGAGAAGTTTGGATCGTTGTAAAAACATGTTCAATCCGTTTTGATCAATTCTGTCGATTGGAATTGGTAGAACAGCAAGCAGCAGATAAATTTCAACAAACAAACCTGTCATGTATGTGTGTGACGCTGAGAAATCGCTAATAGAAGTTCGGACGCTGCTTAGATTGACGAGAATACGTAAATTCCCCTACTCTTTGAGTTAAATTCCTCCAAAAAATACGAAATGTAAGTAAACTGCTTTGGCAAAACAAATGCTGAAAAATAATGAAAAATGATCCGGGCCAACGCTTGCGGCTTGCCGTGCATGTTCATGGAACTGTTCCATCTTCCGAAGCGGCCAGAAATAGGCAGAATGTAGAATTACTTAATATATTGGCTAACGGAAGATACATGCTGCCAAAGTTGAAAAAAGCGGTAAATCATAGAAATCTAGCGTATTTTAATCCCATATGATATACAGTAGCGTAAAACTATTGAAACATACCATTTTAAAGCTTGAAATCTAAGCTTTCCAATGAGGCTATCTACATTACAAATCGATCAAATTTTTGTATAGTCACATGAAAAAATACTAAAAACCTACGATTTTTCAAAACTAAATCATGTTGCAATAAAAATGTCCACCTCAGTTCGCTCAACTGTTCATTAGAGAATAAAGTACAATCCTAGTGCTAACTTTCAGCGAAGGTTACATCTGCACTTACTTGCTCTAGCTCGAGAACGCACCAATTGAAACTGTTGTGTTTTCCTTCAGCAAACACCGGATGGATTACAAATAATTTTAAATTCGTATTAATAACATTGCTCAGAACAAACGTATGATCTTTATTAAAGTCTGGAACGCACAAAAATTTGTCAACAATTGGTGTATTTCTGTTCAAAATGCATAAAAAAAAACATAAAATGCTGCAATTGGAAGTTGAGTGTATATACAATGGTTGCTATGATGAGTTTTCACCGTTTGCTTTCCAGTTTTCAATATGACGTCCAAGCAAGAGGAGCACCCGAGCAAAGCTGGTGATCAAATTGAAATCAAAATTTACTGTTATGTTATAATATATTTTGAGTTAAGGGATCTTTCTTCGTAGTTCACTTTTTAAAAAGAACTTTTAATGCTAACACTATTTATTACCGATCTTACACGTTACACATTTATGATGAAAAAGAGGTAGAGCCTCGTGTGCTCTACCGTTTTAAAGACTAAATATGCTTACATTACAAAATTATGTTACCTGTCTCCTATTGGTGGAGCTACGTGGCGTGATGCGCCACGTTTTCGCGCCAACCAACCTTACTGCCTGATTGGTCAATCCACCTATCAGTATTTTCCTGACGATTCCCCCTCTACTGGAAAGTCGTCCCCGACTTTCACGATCCCTGGCTCCTGCGGGATGAATCTTGGTTGCCTGATGTGGTGGTGTGTGTCGTTGACCTGCGTTAGTCCTGAAGTCCCTGGTCCTGTAGGTCTCTCCGTGCTGATGGTTCCCGTGTTGGTTCGTCTTGGTATCCAGAAGGACGTCGATTTTCATGGTAAGAATGAAAGAACTGTCTTTGTAACTAATACTGCTAGGAGCACTAGTATTAGGGTCGATAATGTTCCAAATGAGATCCAGCTAACCAGATGTAGTTGCCAGTGTATGTTGTCCGTAGTCATATTCAGATGCTCTATATGACTCCGGTGCTCCAGATTGATTTGCTGTAAGTACTGTAAAGGCATCTTGTTTATGATTTTTGAAGGAGTTACCGTTAGTACCGTCGTTGGAAGATAAGTTTTATGTAATACGTCGGTGTTGTTGTTGGTGTATTCCTCGTCGTTCAACTTGATGGTACAGCCAGAGAACTGGATAAGGTATGATCCTCGTAGCTCTCTTACTTGCCTTGAACAGTTTGATGTTAGGGTGACGTTGTTAGCACTCACCAATATGTTTGCATCATCAATTCGCTTTATGAAGTTTTGTCCATATACTTTCTCCATAGGACATTGAGCTGATTCGCTATCAACCAACTGTTGAACGCATTTTCCCAACGGTTCTAGCTGTGAATTCATGCAGATATATTGATTTCGATGCCGTTTACATGGAGTGTTGGTTAAAAAGGAATTAAGTCCTTTCACGTAGTATTTCGCCGTTAAATGGATTCGATGGTTGTTGGAAATTACTGGTTCTATGTAGTTTAAGTGATATTCCACATCTTTGACTCGTGGAATTTTGAGTGTGTACATAATTTCTTCCTTACCATACAGTACTTAGGCGCTGTATATATCTAATATGTTGTCGACTGCACCCGTTCCAAGACCACTGTTCCTGAGGAATTCCTGGGCTATGGTTATCTCGTCTGGTGAAATGATGCGGCTGCTGGGGATATTGCGTCGGGCTAGTGTGATCGCTTCTTCTATTAGTCCTAACTGATCGATTAACTCATCTAAATGAAGTATCAAATTAACTGACTCAAAACCTTCAATGGTTTTATTTTGAAATCTATCATGAAATTTAACGAAAGTATTGATTGATTCTGTGGTATTTCTCATTCTAGTTTCCAGTATGCTATTGATTTTAACTTGTCTGTTGTTCTGATCAATAAGAGAATTAATTGTACCGTTAATAATTTTTAGATCGTCAGCATCCGAGCTGCCTGATACATATTTCCAAGCGCGACCTAAACTTTCCCATCGCTTTTGTCTAGAGGGTCTAAATTTATTGTACATTGAATGGAGTTTTTCTAACTTTACTTTTAATATTGGACTTAACATTTGTTGTTTAGAAATTTGGTTTTCGATTATTGAGTCTAGATTTTTGATTGTCTCTGCAAGTGAATTAAGGTTTATATGATGTCCAATTCTCGAATAACTGCTGCTGATTTTAGCTATTCCTATCGGGATGATTACCACCGGGTTTTTCTCCTTTACGTCTATTAGTCTGTATCGATTGCCGGAAGGGTGTGGTTTTGCCTTTTCTTTAACCAATGCTTTAGTCTTTTCAATATTTTTATATTGTCTATTTTCTAAAGGCGTCTCTGTATTTTTCGATGCAAATCGTCTGATGTTGTCCCGTGCAGTCTGTATGTTAATTTGCTTCGCGAGATTAATTTCAGCTAGATTTAATGAATCGCTTGTTCCTAAAATAATTTCGAGAGGCTTCAAATCCGTCGTACTGTGCTTTGAGTCGTTGTAAAGCGCAGTAACCAGTGCGAGTCCTTCATAGAGGGTCAGGTTTTCAACTTTGCTGCGGTTTGCTAGGTACATTTCCAGCTATGTACTGTGGAAGCGTTCCACAATTCCATTACCTCTGCTGTCACTAGCAAAATGCAATGCGATCCCTTGCGTCTCTAGAAAGGCTCTAAATCGAGCATTTCGAAATCCCGCCGCTTGATCACAGGTGATCATTTTCGGCAACCCGAAGATTTTGAAATACTCGATCAGTGTTTCCTGAAGTATTTCCGTTGTCTCATTTTCGATTTGAAATATTTGTGCGAATTTGGAAAAAGAATCTACGAGAGTGAGGAATTTGTGTCGCTCCTTGACATAGACGTCAATGAAAACGTTTTCGAAAGGTTTCTCGTAAATCCTTCGAGCGATAGGTATTTTAAATGGTTTTCGCTCGTATTTGGCGAATTTACGGTCTTGACAATTTTTGATAAATGCTTTAACCTTGCCAAGCATACCAGAAAAGTAAGCGCACTTCCTAATTTCCTCATATGTCAGCTTATAATTTCTGTGGTTAAAGTTATGATGCTTAGATATAAATTCTTGCTGGTCCGCACCTGAAATTAGATCTGGTAGAA